GAAGTTGTGGTGGCGGCAAAAGATGAAGAGATCAAGCGACTCTGCAACCTGCTGGACGCGCACTTTATTCCCCACCGCAAGACCATCGAGGGTGAAGTGACAACGTACGAGGGCACCATTGCGATTCTCAGCGAGAAGGTCGGCGAGCTGACGCGGGAGATGGAGATACGGGAACAGTTAGCCCTTGAGAATGAGACTCAGCTCAAGGCCCGCATTGCAAATCAGGAGGAAGTTATCGAGGCACTTCGAGAAGACCTGCGTTGCTCGCAAGCCCGGCGCCGTGAGGAGGTGCGGTCCGTCGAAGAAGAAGTTTCCCGCCTGAAGAAGACACTGGAGATCCATTTTATCCCGTACGAGATATAACCGCTGAAGCGCCAACTCGACCATATATATATATGTATTATATGTTTTATATGTATGGGGCTGGGAAAAGGGGGAAAAAAAAGGAAAAGAAAAAAAAATGAGAAGGAATAAATTCACGATGTAAAGAGTAGAGGGAAGGGGTACTCATTTGAAGGGCAGAAGGAAAATATGCAAACAAGAAAAAGAAGAAAAATGGGAAACGAATACCAAAGGGAGAACATAAAAGAAAGAAAGAATATTTGATGGCACACAGGCATGTATTTATATTATGTGCGCTGTAACCTGAGTGGAGAAGTACTGCATGAAGTCAACTTCACTGATGCTACAGAAGTTGTGTGTTTCTCTGGCATCTCAGCACATAGCCCGCTTCACTTGTTGCTCTGTGCACGAACAATCCCATTATTTGTTTTTATGCTCGGAAGAGAGGAAATGAAGAGTTTTATTCAAAAAGTACCTCCTTCTCTTATTTGTTTCTTTTCTTTTGTTGTTGTTTTTTAAATCTTTTACTCTGGCAACACCGTATGTATTTATTTTATTATATTTCCTCTGTACTGTTGAACTCTTCCGCATTTATTTATTTTTATTAATTATTTATTTATGAGGCGGTGTGTTAAAAACTGTCTCTCTGTCTGCCTGTGTGTGTGTGTGTGTGTCTCCGTCAACACCGAAGGAGAGGAGGGGATACGCGTGGGATTACACACCGACGGAAAATTCATTACGACCTCAGAAGTAAATAAAGAAATAGGGCCATAGAGACACCTACACACAAACACACCCATTTACGCACATACGCATCATCACTACACTGCATTATATACATATATATTCATATACATTTAGATAATTATAATATCTGATAGACACCTATTCTAGTCCGGTGATACTTGAAGGAGGAAAAGGAAAACAAGGTTAAGACGGGTACAAATGGAGAATGTTGTTCCATCGCCCAACGGATGGGAAACGCCACCAACGGCCGGTTCCGCCGCAACAACAGGCGTGTACGCTGCCGACCACATCCCTGGCACGTACCTTAAGACTTTGACGGGCGTGCAGCGGGGTGAGGAACTTTTCTACCGGCCAGACTTGGAGCGTCCGTGGCGAACAACGGCGGCGCAGCGAAGCGCGGCATTGCTGGCGCTGAAGGAAAAGGAGATTGAGGAACTTATGCGCAAATGCTCCAGTTTGCGAACACTGCTTGGTAACGCAAAGCATGATGCAAAGTACCTCGAATTTGCCGCCGATGAGAGGGCGAAAGAGAAGGCGGCTGAGATACAAAAAGAGGTGAATCGGCTTGAGACGGCGCTGAAGACAGTGAAGGAAGAAAGGGAGGAGCTGAAGATATCCACGGAGCACCAGCTGCGATTGTTAAAGTCTCAGCATGAGAAGGAACTCATCCAGGTGCAGACTGAGAAGCGTCTGTTGAACGATCGCTGTGTAGAACTTACCAGGATTTATCAGCAGCAAGTCGATGATGTCAAGAAGGCTGCAGCACGAGAACTAGAATACGTGGAGAGTTTATGTAATACTCGGGTGGAGCAGCTGAAAAGTGAGCTTCAGGCTGCCCATAGTGAAAGTCTGGCGGCTGAAGAACGCCGCGCGGAGGAATTGGCACAGGCTAAGAACCTCACTCACCGCATTGAAACGGACTACAAGGAACGTCTTTGCGAAGCTGAGAAGCGCGTTGATGAAGTACGTGAACGGCTGGAAACGGCAAACAAACGACTAACAGAGGAACGTAACACTGCTATAAAGGAGGCAACTCGCTCTACAGAGCGGTTGGCTGTTACGTTGGCAGATCACGAGGCGTTGCTGGAGCGAATGAAGAAATGGAACACGTACATTCTTCGTCTACTTGATCAATTTTATACAGCGTTTGTAGAGTCTAGACCGGAACAGGCCGTAGAACCGCATGATCCAGAGTTACATGAATCTGCTTCTTTGTATGTCCCGCGATCTCTTATGGAAGATCCGAATGCAAAAGTAACCGCGGAGCGCATTGTGTATCGCCTGTTACAGCTGAAGCACGCTCATCTAACGGAGGAAGTGGATCGTGTTCCGAGAGACGGGAACTCCATAGAAGCTTTAGAGGAGTTGGTTGAGAAGCAAAAACGCCTCTCACAGGCATTCCAAGAGATCGAAGAGAAATGTACGGAGGCCAGAGATTCTCTCAGTGGTGTCATCTCTCGCTTGTGTTTTTTTAGCGATGATCTTAATGATGCGATTGTCAACTCGGGGTACGTTGCGCCCCCGCAAAGTTGCGCAATTTTTGTCTGTCTTGGAGTCTTTAGGGGAAGACAATTATGGGCTGAAGACGCTGAGAGGGCTCGCGCTTCTGTGTCCCTGATGAATTCCGTGTTACGTCCTAAAATGACACAGTATGGAGCCTATGAGTGTTACAGTGACGGAACATCCATGCTGTTGGCCTTTGCGGATCCTGTGGCCGCTTGTCGTTTTTGTGTGGAGTCGCAGTGGTGGTTGATGAATTTGCCGTGGCCACAGTCTTTGCTCCGAAGTGTATGGGGCAAAGAGGAATACGATAAAGCAAATAAACTGATATACCGTGGATTACGCTTATCTATGTCAATTCACACGGGTGACGCATTTGTGGAGCCAACCGCTATACCGTGTGGAGATTCTTACCGTTGTCACTACTATGGTCGTGCTGTTTCGCAAGTCATTCATGTTTGTTCTCTTGCACAGGGAGGTCAAGTACTTGTGACAGGGCCTGTTTGGGACATGTGTGCTCCAGATCTACATGAATTGGGGCCTGTTGGAGTCCGGGAAATTGGTGCAGTTCCCATTGTTTCTTTCAACAAGGAGACAAATTGTTATGAGAAGGAGAGCCTTCTTCTTCGTCAGATTCTCCCACAGGAGTTGTTGGGTCGTCCCTTTCAAAATATTGTGGAGGAGGACGCCCTGGATCTCGCACTGTTTGGAAAGATGCGACGGTCTATGCTTTCAGATGAAATTCAATGCGTGGAGGCACGGCGGGCTTTCCTCAAGGAGGCGGTTGGTGTGGCAGGCGAGGAACTGGTGGCGGTGGACCGCGCTATACACGCCCTTATGCATCGGACACGAGAGGCGAAGTCGTACTTTCATTTGCTTCCGCCCACTGAAATGGTGGAGTTGTTGAACGATTTGTACGGTGTGATGGAGAAGGTTGCATCTCGCGCGTCCCACATTCGTGGCGACCTCCGTCGCATGGACCAACGGCAGGATGAACTGGTGAACCAGACCCGTGGCTTGAAAGACTACTGCCTCCAGCATGCATTCACAGCCTCTCGAGTGGAGGAGCTTCAAACTCATTCAGAACTCATGCAAACTCGTTATGAAAAGGAGATGACTGAGATGCATCGGAGCCACGCAGAGAAGGTGGAGCAGCTTCAGCGCGAGTTGCGGGAGCGTGACCAGCTGATCCAACGGCTCTACAGGAAACTGCAGTCTGCTCCACTGAGCCACTCATGACGAACGGCTCCACCATAATTGGGGGGTCAGAGAATGGAAGGGTGTGTAGGGTGCCATTTGCGCCCCACAGTAGTGAGCTGGAGAATAAAACCCACATCGAGCCCGGATTGAACAGTTTGATAGATTTTTTGTTGTTGTTCTTATTGAAGGGTTCCTTCCTTTTATTATTATTATTTTCTTTTTTTTTTGCTCCCCTCACCCTCCTCCTCCACAGCACTCCCCATATAATTTTTGCTTCTCTTCTTCCGCGGAAAAGCACATGTATATTTATATTTATAAATCGAGGGGCGAGGAACTTTAAAAAAGAAAAGGGGTGGGGGGACATTTCAACACGGTGTGAGTAAAGCCGCATGGGGTATGTGTTTGTATTGCACGCGTTTAAGTGAGAAGGAGGAGGGATGATGTGTGGGAGTTGTCTGAATGATCACATCATCATTATCATCGTCATGGCCTTGTTTTCTCTCTTTCTCTGTGTGTGTTTGTTGGGCTTTTTTTTTACTTTTTGTCCCATTTTTGTATTTTTACTGTGGTAGTGAACAAGTAAGCATCCATACAAACGACAATAAAAAAAGGAATAATTCCGTAAAATTGCACGGGTGTGACGGCATCACATATTAATTCGTTATTTGTGCCTGTCTCTCTGTCTGTGTGTGTGTGTGTGTGTGTGTGTCTTTCTATTGTTGTTGCCATCAATCCGTAAAGAGGTGTTTGGGAGTGAGTGCGCATTACAGAACGTGCAAAGCAAGGGAGGCTGGGGAAAAAACAAGGAGAGAGATATGGGCGATATTATACGCATTAAGAGGCATCACTATGTGCACATACTAGACTATAACACAAATGTTACACGATGTATGGTGGGGCCGTTGGTTTACACACGCAGGGAGAATGAACGGTGTCTTTTTAATCCAAAGCCATGCATTGTTGTGCCACCACGATTTTATTGCATCGTCCAGAATCCTTGTGTGCGGGATGCATCTGGCAATCCAGTGATTGGGGAGAACTCCAGTGTGATGCTGCGCATGGGGGAGGAGGAGATTTGCTTTGAGCAGGAGCCGTTTCCGTTACAACCGGGGGAAGTGCTGAAGCGAGAAGAAGGGGAATGGCTCTTCAAAATGAAGTTAATTCCTGTCAACACGGGATACCATGTTCGTTGTCTCTGCGATTTTACAGATAAGAACTCCGTGTTGAGGCGGGCTGGGACGGAGTGGTTGGTCGAAGGTCCGCAGACATACGTGCCACGCGTCGAAGTCGAAGTTCTGCGAGAAGTTCATGCGCATATCATCAGCCCAAATACGGCGTTACATATCCGCGCCCTGGTGAAATTTACAGACCGTACTGGTGTGCCTCGTGAAGCAGGGGACTTGTGGACAGTGAAAACTGTTGGCGCGTACCTGCCGGCTGTGGAGGAAGATGTCATTGGCACCTTTCAAGGCATTACACTGACCGACACCGAGGCCGTCCACTTGGAAGCCCTCTCAAACTTTACGGATGTTTACGGAAAAAGACGGAGGGCTGGAGAGAGATGGTTAGTGACAAAAGAAGATGCTTCTATACATATTCCTGACGTCCATGAAAAGGTCAGTGGCAAGGTGCGGGCGATTGTGCTGAGTGAGAAGGAGTACTGTGTCGTGCAGAATCCCCTCGGCGCGGACGGACTGAACGAATTTGGACGAAAAGAAGTACGTAAAGGGGAGTGCCGTTTTTTCCTTCACCCGCAGGAAGAATTACTTGGCGGTATGCAGCCCATAAATGTGGTTAGCAAAGATCAAGCTCTCCTGCTTCAGGCGGTGGACTTTTTTGACGATAATGGAAAGATTCGACGCCCTGGAGAAAAATGGATGTTGCATGGGCCCGCAGAGTACATCCCTGATGTGAATGTTCGTATATTGGAGCAGCGGAATCTCATTGCGTTGGACAAAAACGAGGGCATCTATGTCATGAACACCACCACGGGCGTGGTGCGGGTTGTGATTGGGAAACCGTACATGCTGAATGAGAATGAGGTGCTGTGGGAGAAGGAAATTTCCCCAAAAGTGGAGGAGTTACTTGCCTTTGCGAATGGTTGCATGTCAGAAGGGGAACGAAATCCGGGGTTTAAAAGTACACGTGTGCGGCATCGCGTTGTCCGTTTCAACGTTCAACACAACGCGGCGGTGCAGATCTATGACTATAAACAGAAGAAACTCCGTGTTGTGCTTGGGCCAAATTTGGTGATTTTATCGCCCGATGAGGAGTTTACGGTGGTTTCACTCAGTGGGGGAAAGCCAAAAGTACCCAATTCGTTGCATTGCCTGCAACTTTTTTTGGGCCCCCGCTTCTCAAGCGACCGCATCGTTGTGGAGACATCGGACCACGCCCGTCTGGAGCTGGACCTTTCCTACAACTGGTACTTTGATGTAAACCGTGAGGAACCGGATGCTAAAATATTCTCCGTGCCAGATTTTATTGGGGACTGCTGCAAGACGATCGCCTCGCGTATTCGTGGCGCGGTGGCCGCGGAGGACTTTGACTCCTTTCACCGTAACTCCGCTAAGATCATTCGTGTGGCCGTCTTTGGCCGCGGTGAGAACGGTGAAATCAACACATCCCTACGGTTTCAGCGAACAA